CTTGGTGAGGGTCTCCACCTTTTCTACCAGCCTTCTGCTTGACCAAGCATGCTGCCCTCTGGAGACTGGCCCCTCCTGACAACATGACCTGAGAACGTGAGACAGTCTTGTCATCCTTGCACCCAAGGAGCATTTCAGGTGGCTTGAAAATGGATGTGTGTATATAGGTTTTCTTAAACATCCTGTAGAGTAGCCTTTCACACAAGATGTCTTTTTGGTGGCATTTTCCAGCCTTGTCTATTGGAGTACATTATACATGAGCAAAGTGCCCATAACCTAAGTCCTCGGGCGTCAGAAGCCATGATGTGAACATTCCATGAGGCAACAGAACACACTGTCATTAGCCACCCCTCCCCCGGGGTATAATCGCTGACTTTTCACACCATTGTTTTGCTTGAGTTTGTACTTTAGAGAAGTGGAATAACAATGGGATGTGTAGTGTGTGTGCGGCTTCTCACATAAATCACATTTGTGAGGGACTCATGTTTCCTTTCAGCCTGGACAATACAGAAGAATACAACTGGAGAAAATAAACACATTAGAGAAACCCAAGCCTCTCAGCATTTTGCTGTATTTCCTTGTAGTCTTGCCTGTAGGGTACAGAGGGGTGCATGTGGGGTGTGTCTGGTGTATGTAGGATGGTGGGCCATTCCTTGGAGAAGGATATCATGCTTGGTAAAGTGGAGGGTCAGCAAAGGGAAGGCCCTCAACAAGATGGATTGACACGGTGGCTGCAACGAGGGGCTCAGATATAGCAAGGATCATAAGGCAGGCTCAGGACCGGGCAGAGTTTTGTTTTATTGCACATGGGCTTGCTGAGTTGGAGCCAACTCGACGGCACCTAACAACAACAACGAGAAGGCTGGTGTGCACACATGTTTGCATTTGTACAGGAACAAGACCACATTATCCATGCAGCCTAATAACCTTTGCAATTTCTACTCCACGCACAAGTTCTTGTGACTATTGTTGTATTTATGAGATTCATAACTAACATAATAACCAGTTGCCATGGAGTCAGTTCTGACTCATGGCAGTCCTGCATGTGTGAGAGGAGAACTGTGCTCCGTAGGGTTTTCTGGGGCTCAGTGTTTGGAAATAGATCACTAGGCCTTTTTTCTGAGGCAGATTTAGATGGGCTTGAACTGAACCTCCAACCTTCTGGTTAGCGGCTCGGCATCTTAACTGTTTGCACTACCCGGGGACAAATTTCTCTTACTGGATGTTTGTCTTCTCTGAGAGGATTGTCATATTCCTGGTCCACATTTTGGTGGTAGGTCTACTGTAGGATATTAGTGGGGCTGCTGTAGTGGGGGACAGCAGGATGGGAGACCTTGGGACCAAGCTCAGGAATCCCTGGTGGCACTTGACTGAGGTGACGCTCCCTGTCTCCTGCTCTCTTCCACCTGGGTGGCCGACCACAGAACACATGGTAAATTCTCTTCTTTTCCGTTCCTCTTCCTACAGCATTGGTGTCATCTATGGTTTTGTGGCAAACCACTACCTCAGGACCCAGATCAGACAGTCTCGGAAACTAGCAGACAGCAATTTCAAAGACTTACGAGTGTTCCTGAATGGGACTCCAGCGGTAAAAACCACAGCCTGCACATCCCATGCTGCCCTTCTGACTTTTCATAGCCCCTGTATTTATTTGAAATCTCACTTAGACCTTCGAGAACTCCAGGAAACTGGTGCAAGTTTTTGTTTTTTGGGTGCCCGTCTTTAAGTCCAGTTTGTATGTCAAGTTGCAATAGTTAGGTGCAGTTCGTGTCTAACGTCAGCGGGTAAACTGTTAGGTCCAGTTCGTGTCTAACGTCAGTGGGTAAACTGTTAGGTATACGTTAGTACGTGCGTGCTTTGATTACTTTTTGCTGCTCTAACAGAAATACCACAGGTGGGATGGCCTTCACACACAGCAGTTTATTCTCTTACAGTTTTGGAGGCTAGAAGTCTGAGTTCCAAGTGCCAAGCTCTAGGGGCTGGGTAAAGGCCCCTTGACCTTGGGCTTCAGTTCTGCCTCTTGCTCCCAACCCACTGAAGCTAGAGACATCTCTTTACTCAGGCAGCTGCTGGCTGCTGAGACTGACAAGCCCAAGGTCATCAAGTAAAATGGCACAGTCTCAGTATTACCAAACCATGCGGCAGGCCATAGATTCAAGTTCCACCAGCAGTCCCAAGATCAGCAGACATTATGGCAGGCTGCTGGACAACAACTTGGCTACATGCAGGGTTCAAGTGTACCGTAGCTGGAGACCGTTCCTAAAGCTTCTCCTTACATACAGGAAGCAGATCATATCCGTAAGGCAGTTATTGGCTGCTCCAGTAGATTCCACCATGGATTTGATGACCAGTCCCACCATGGGGAGTAACTACATCCAGAGGCCCAGCCACTCAAAACCAGGCCCAGCCAAGTTGGCATATAACTTTAACTAGCACAATAGGGTACCTGTCTGTGCATAACAAAAACACTGAAGAAACACCACTGGCTACTCTAAAAACACCTTTAACATAATAATACAGTAATAAGAATAATAATGTTTTGATGAGCATCACAAAGCACTGCCTGTTTGTTATCACAAACCATTGTATGTACCTCGAATTTTTAACAGATTTTACGGGGTATGGTACGTAACTATGAGTTGCATGTAAGTTGGACATTTGTAACCTGGGGACTGCCTGTGTAGTTAACTCCCCACTGTTTCAATGAGGTTACTTTTGCAATGAAAATTCCAGTAACCTTTCTGCATTACAACACCCGTTTGCTAATATATGTTTGTGTGTGTAAAATTGTTTGGAAAGGGCAAACAAACACATGCACACAGAAGTTATCTTTTGGGAAAGGGAAGCGGATGGCTGGAGGGTAGGGATGGGAGGACACCATTTTTTTGTATTCCAGACCGGGTGGATCGGTTGGTTACCTATTCAGAACGTTAAAAAAAAAAAACAAAAAAAAAAAACAGCCAACCAGCCAGTGTGTGGGCTCCTAGGAACCAGCCCAAGTAGATGATGCTGATCTCATGGGTACCAGCCTGGGGAGGAGGACACCGTCCTAGTGGATTCACTAATAGACAGCTGCAGGAATCTATGAGCTCCTCACATTACTTCCTAAGAACTATAGGAACATTAAATATTATACTAGGGTTTGTTTTTTTGTTTTTTTTTCGGTTATTGGAAATGAAAGAGAAAAAATACCGAAGATATTTTTAAATATTGAAAATAAAAATAGCTTACTTTGTAAGCCTGTTCACAGAGAGATATGTTTTAACTTTCCAATCTGTAAATAAAAACTTAAAATACTTCTTGCATATGTCCTTCTAAAGACTGCTAAGGAAAGATTTTTGTTTGTTCTTTTTTTTTTCAAAAGTTGGCAAAAGGTTAATAGCCAGACAGCACCCATGGCTGGTGAAGAAGTGTGTGATTCCTTTCATAACCTTGGAAGGATAGTAAGTTGTTCCCACTTTTGTGGAAATTGACCAGGTTGGAAATATATGAAAGCTGGAATAAATCAGTTGAAAACTGGGCAGAAAATGTGAATAGTCAATTTACAGGAGAAATGTTGTTGTTTGCCGTCGAGTCGGATCTGACACATAGTGACTCCACTTTGGGTTTCCGAGGCGGTATCACTATGGAAGTAGATTGCCCAACCTTCCTTCCAAGGAGTGACTGGTGGGTTTGAGCTACCAGCCTTTTGGTTAGCAGTAAAGTGCCTTAGGCACTAAAAATACAAAGAGATGTTTAATCTTAACTCCGAGGAGCCCAGGTAGCACAATGGTTAAATGCTTAGCAGCTGACCCAAAAGTCGGTGGTTTGAACCTACTTGGTGGCTCTGTGAGAGAAACACCTGATGATGTGCTCCCATGAAGATGACAGCCTAGGAAACCATCTGGGGCAGTTCTACTCTGTCCTGGAGGGTTGTGGTGAGTCAGAGTTGATGCACTGCCACCCAGAAAACACACCCATCTTACTATAGTTTTTGGAGAAATGAACATTTAAACAATGACAGGCATTTCATCAAGGAAAATGGTGGTAGCTATATAAAAATGGTAGCATCTTGTGTTGCAGAGGATGTGGGAACCAGGTTGTAAGACACAGTAGTCAGGAGAGAAAGCAGCCTTTTCTGAGGCCCAGTTCAATGATGGCCGCTGAATAAAATGGGTCCAGTTCAGTAGATTACCTTTGAGGCCGGTTCAGTGTTTGGGTGTGGTAGATTGCAAATGGACATAGATTCCTCGTAGTTCCCTCCATCAAGAGGTGACTCTGTTCCCTAGCCCCTTGAAACTGGACTGCACCTGACTTGCTTTGACCAATAGAGTGCAGTGGACGTGACCTTGTACTAGTTTTAAACCTAGGCTTCTGGAGACTTTGTGGCACCCACTTTTATTATCTTCTTGCTAGAAACTGTAGGACCACCGTGTGAAAATGTCCAGGCTAGCTTGGAAGGTGAGAAGTTATGTAGAGTGAGAGGCCCAATCTGCGCCAACCTTGTGGGTCCCAACCAGACATCCCCACAGCCAGGCCCCAGAATCATGAGAAGTAATAAGTCATGTTTTAAGGCAACAAGCTTTGGAGTGTTGAGGACTCTGTCAGAAAGTGTAAACACCCCCCTATGGACCTGCTGGTTATGATTACTGTTTTCTTAAATGTTCTGTATTTTGGATTCAGGATAAGGTCTTTGAAGGGGAAATGTCATTTATTATTATTATTATTTTTTTTTCTTTTTAAAGCAAATGAAGTATATATTGAGCCAGTACAACACCACTAAGGAAAAAGCATTCTTGGATCTGGACAGTGAGTAAAGTTCATGGTTAGAAGTCCAATGTTTGTTTGTTTGTTTTGCTTAACACCTACCATGGCCATCGCCCATAACATAGAAACATAAATCATCACCCATAGCAACAGAGAAGGGAAGCACACTCTTTCAACAGTATATGCATAAAATTGGAGGATAAATAGAAAAAACAAAATTCCTGGAGCTGTGGACAAATGGCATCTTGCTTCTCAATGATTAAACACTAGCGTTCATTGTAAGACGGTGTTGGTTTGTCACAAGCACTTGTTCTTCATTTCCCATGTGAGAGAGGAAATGTTCTCTCTTGGGTCCGCAGTCAAAGACAATCGGGCTGGCTCAGAGAATCCTGTGACCTTCAGGAATGGAGGACGGGGAGAGCCTCCTTCACTCATGCCCATAGGAAGCTCACATGCCTAGCTCAGTGGTTCTCAGCCAGGATGCTGGGGAACTCTGCACCCCAGGCACCATTTGGCAATGTCTGCAGACATTTTTAATTATCAAAACTGGGGCTGTGTGCAACTGGCATCTGTTGGTAGAGGCCAAGGATGCTGGTAAACATCCCATAATACTCAGGACGGCTCCCACAGTATGTGCCAAAATGTCAACAGAACCAAGGTTGGGAAACCCTGGTCTAAGGATTGAAGTCCCTGCATGGTGCAAGCAGTAAAGCGTTCAGCTCCTAACTGAAGGTTGGACATTTGAGCCGGTCCAGAGGCTCTTCAGAAAAGACAGCTGGCAATATGACAGCCAAAATAGAAGCCCCTGAAAACCCTATGGGGCACAGTTCTACTCTGACACCCACAAAGTCAGCATGAGTCAGAGTTGATGCAACAGTAGTTGGTTTTGTTTTCTAGCTGAAGACATTAGGGGTAGAGGCAGTTAGGTTCAAAATGGTAAAAAGCTATAATCCTAGTTCAAGTGACTCCCCAGTCTGTGGTGAGTCATTTCTCATTGGGCCACCATGGAGATTTGGAAGAGTGTGGAGGAAGCTCCACCCAAGAATGAACACTTGCAGCGGATCTAGAAGGGGAAATGGGGTTTCATGGCAGGAGAGGCAAGAATGGCTCTGAGGTGGAAATGCTGTGGTGTGAAGTGAATGGGTGCTAAGAGGTGAAGAAATAAATGGACCCTCCCCTCACATTCGCTTATGTTTCTTTGAATCTAGATATTAAATCATTTCTAGGAGAAGGAATTCAGAACGAAGTAAGACGTAGGGTGATTGCAGTTCTTGATGACATCAAAGACATGGCAGTAGGTAAGCAGTGTGGAAGAAATGCCTGAGAGAGAGAGTTCCCACCCCACAGGCCCTGGGCTTTCTGGGTTCACGCCCCCTTTTCCTGCTTTTCCAGATAGTGAGGGGCTGGGATCTACAGTGCATGACTATATGAACAGGTCAGGAAAGCACTGTGTCATAGTGTTTTATACTGTGACCATAGTGTAGGCCTGCAAAGCATAAAATACTGATGGTCCAAAAGTGATTTGGAACAGCAATGGCAGAATGTGACAGGGATCTGCAGTTGTTTTTGTAAATAAAGTTTTATTGGAACACACCTGTGCTCATTTGCTTGGGTATCATCTAAGTCGGCTTTCACTCTGTGGTGGCAGAGTTGAGAGGCTATGGCAGAGACCGTAGGCCTGCAAAGCATAAAATATTCATCATCTAGCCCTCGATGCGGCATAGTGGTTAAAGGACTCCACTGCTAACCGAAAGGTTAGCGATTCGAACCCGACAGCTGTTCTGTGTCTGTGGGAGAAAAATGTGGCAGTCTGCTTCATAAAGACTTACAGCCTTGGAAAACCTGTGGGGGCTGTGAGTTGGAAGTGCCTCTATGGCAGTGGCTTTTGTTTAACCCTTTATAGAAAACATTTTGTGACCTTGGTATAGAAGATGAGTACCATACAGATGTGGGTACTATTAGGGCTGTAGAGGTTTATTGATCACTCTTTCCTTTCCCCCTAAAAGAACAAGTTCTAGAAATTAGGAATATATGTATAGATCTTAAACCAGCCATACACAGTGGTGTTAAGTGAGCAGATTTTAATAAATTTTATTTTCAGTAGCAATGAAAAAAGAACTTCTAGGCCCTTCCAAGTGTTGAGAAAATGTCTGTGCTGGGGTACTTGATGGAGAGGTCAATTTCATCTATGCCAAATACTTGTCATTTTGCCAATTTGAGTTTCACTTTCATGGACTATTAGTCCTGATAAAATAGATTATGAAGAGGGACTTGGGAGAAGTTGGAAAATTACATCCATTCCTTTTGGCACTCTTCCCTCCTTGCAGCTCAGTGATTCAAAGAAACGTACAAAAACAGGATGACATACAGACTAGGTCAGGTTGGGAAGATGGGGCTGTTGAAAGGCCCTTCCCCAGCCCTTCCCTTTGACCTTGCAGGGGGTCCACTGCAGCCCAAAGGTGTGTCCTCCACTGGTGATGGCTCAGACGTCTCCAGACACCATGCCCCTTATCACCGACCATCTCCTTCCCAGGAAAGGAAAGTGCGACCCCAAGAAGGGAGGTTGTTGTGAAGGCCCCTATCTCCTGCCTTCCTGTCCTGGCCACCGTGAGGCTTTCCCCTGGGTTCCCTCCATACCTGGCCCCTACATCATACAGCCTCACTTCCTGCCTTCCATTCCAGACCCTAAATCACCAGGTTCATTGTATTGGAGGTCCCTGGAGGTCGCATTCTCCCCGATATCTCTGTACTGTGTGAGCTTTCTTTCCCTGAAATACCACAGAAATCTTCCCCACCTTTTCTTACTTACCTGGCAAACCAACATTCACTGTCCTCTCCTCTGTAACCTTCGGTCACACCCACATTCTCTCTGAATGTTGGGCAATCTACTTCCGTAGTGATACTGCCTTGGAAACCCAAGGAGGGGTCACTATGAGTCGGGGCCGACTCGACGGCACATAACAACAACAACCACCACCTCCTAATTTCTGCTGTTGTGAGGTGCCATCAAGGCAATTCCAACTCATAGCAACCCTGTGTATAACACAAGGAAACAGTGCCCACTCCTATGCCATCCTCAGTCATTCCGATGTTTGAACCCATTGTTGTAGCCACTGTGTCAATCCGTCTCGTTGAGGGTCTTCCTCTTTTTTGCTGACCTACTTTATGAGCATGATGTCCTCCTCCAGGGACTGGTCCCTCCTTATAACATGTCCAAGGTAAATGAGACAAAGTCTCACAAGCCTCCCTCCTAAGCATTCTGGCTGCACTACTTTTAAGAGAGATTTGCTCACTGTTCTCACAGTCTATGGTATATTCTGTATTCTCTGCCAGTGCTATAATTCAAAGGCATCAATTCTTCTTCTGTCTTCCTTGTTCATTGTCCAGCTTTTGCAAGCATATGAAGCAACTGAAAATATCATGGTTTGGGTCAGGTGCACCTTAGTCCTCAAAGTAACGTCTTTGCTTTGAAACACTTAAGAGGT